TTGGAACACCAAAGTTTAAGTTTGCCGGAACTCTGTGAAAGTTCTCTTGCTGAGATGATTTTCCAAGTTTGCCCAGTCTATTTTGCACAGTTGGAATCCACTGATTTGACAAGTTTGCCCAGTCTATTTTGCACAGTTGGAATCCACTGATTTGACAAGTTGGATCGATATCTACATATTCTCTACAGTAGGACTTTGGAAACAACATTTAAAATATCTCTAACGAATAAACTTTACAGCCGGCCAAGAACCATCTTTGAAGAATATGGGTCGCTCACCATTTAATAAGAAGATAATATTGAACGTCTGCAACATCTCCTGTTGCAGCTCCGGGACTGAGAAGAAGACGACATCAGAGAAGAATGAAAGTTGTTAGTTCATAACTGACGTATAAATTGAATTATAGTCATGTATAATCTCTAATCTAATATCTGAACAAATTATATGTGTTCGACAAATAAATCATAATAATCATAAAAAAGTAAAATTTAAAAGTTTATTAAATCATAATTTTAAGCAATTTATATATATTTATAAAGAATTCTACTAAGTGATATAAAACTTCTATCTCATGTTTATTGGAAGCGCTGTACTGAAGGCAGGTGTGGATGTGCAAGATACAATAAAAATGGATCTAAATGTGTAAACGTGCTGTCCCGTCGTTCTACTGTCTTTTTTACAGTTTTAACCTTTAGTTAATCGGCATTTACAGCTTAGCCAAGACAGGGAGGTTTATCAAACCTTGATATCTTAAATCAACTGCATTTATATAAACTAAGCTTCAGGGAAGCTTCGCGCCCATCTTCAAAATCACATTTTTCAACTTTCGATAGTGCTCAATCTTTCAGCATTTTCTCTTTGATAAAACAAAAATAAAAAATTTCGGATTTATAATTTATTTTCGTTGATTTTCTAAATTTACTCAAATCTAAATTTTTTGAGACATTATTTTGTGATTCTGAGCCTTTTCTTCGCGCCCATCTTCTTTTTCAACTTTCAATTGTTGCTCAATTCAGCATTTTCTCTTCGAATAAACAAAAAATAATTGTTTTCCGGATTTACAATTTGAGCCAGATTGGTTCAGCCGTTTTGACGTTTATCGGTAACAAACAGACGGACAAGCAACGTGTATAGATAGAATGGAGGGGTATGCTATGAGTATATGTCCTCTTTCCCTTGAATGTAATGTAGACATAGAATGACCCTTCATTTTCAGAGATTTCACATAGAAATGGAACCTGGATAAAAACCAGGGAGTCTTAGCTTTAGAACCCATTTTCCATATTCTGTATTTGCTATTTCATGCTTTTTTGTTGGTCATATATATATTTTTAAAGATGCATGATTTTCGACTGATTTTGAATATATGTATATTCTTTGTAGTAAGCTTTACACCCCCCCCCCCTTAGAATATGCCATTGCTTTGAAATGAGTTACAATGCCTGAGCCTATTTGCATGGTACTAGGCTAAGCCTAGCTTGTTTAAAGGTCATAATTGCGTGCATTAAAGAAATAAAAAATATCGCATACTTAACTTTATAGAGCTAATAACAATCAACAATAAATAATCATAAATTGCTAAATTAAACTCTCAGATAAAAAAAAAGTTTCGTTTATATAAAAAGTAAAAATATTTGTTTTTAATTTATTTTTCTATTAAGATTTTTAATAAAAAACTATAAAAAAATTTAATAAAGCCTTCCTTGGAAATGTAATTAGTTTTCGGTTGGGAGAATCTAATCTCGTTTCGTAAAAACATTCTAAATTTATTATTTAAATCATATTCAAACAGTGACAACCGCAAATATAGGAATAGGAAGACGACCTTTACATGATTATGAGACACAGTATTTGTGAAAAGTGATTTAAGTTACTTGCAGTTAAACCCTAAATAAGCCATACATTGAAAGAATTTATCAAATGTCGTCTAGACAATTTTTCAATGGGTTTTATACTATTTTACATAAATCACAGTATTTGCGAAAATAAATAAATAGCCATGAATATGCGGGGAACAGTTTAAACAGCTCCATATAATCTTTCAATTAAAAAACGAAATATCTGCAACATTCATTATCAGAATTGATGATTCTTTCGATGTTTAACTGTAGTAAAACTAAATCCCTTACATTCCTGATCCCTTGTATGTTTGTAACATCAAATACACAAAAGTCACTGATCCAATCAGAGTTCAGCCAAGTGTTTGGTGTCTTTTCTGAATCAATAGAAATGCCGCCTTCCTTTTACACAGTATTTTATTCTCATTTTATTTCTAATTTCTTGTTGTGAAAAAAAAAAGAAAAAGTTACAATTTTGTCGTTTTTAATGAAGGCTTGCAGGGTACGACAATTAGTAATCCGTTGAGATTTTTTTTTTTTGAAGTTGTATCCGCACTAAAATTTGTTCTTGATAGTTTAAAAATACAAGAAAAGCATTGTATTGATATGCAAAGCAAGTTTTCAATTTCTAGTTTTGCATTCTTGAAATTGAAAGATTTTAAATGTCAGATAAATTCAGTGAATCTCGAGTTTAATCTTAACAGACAACAGCAAAACAGTTTTTTATAGTGGTAACTACTTACAGATAAAATCAGAAAACGTTTTTTATAGTGGTAACTACTTACAGATAAAATCAGAAAACTGTTTTTTAAAAGTGGTAACTACTTACAGATAAAATCAGAAAACTGTTTTTTATAGTGGTAACTACTTACAGATAAAATCAGAAAACTGTTTTTTATAGTGGTAACTTACAGATAAAATCAGAAAACTGTTTTTTATAGTGGTAACTACTTACTGATAAAATCAGAGAACTGTTTTTTATAGTGGTAACTACTTACAGATAAAATCAGAAAACTGTTTTTTATAGTGGTAACTACTTACAGATAAAATCAGAAAACTGTTTTTTATAGTGGTAACTACTTACAGATAAAATCAGAAAACTGTTTTTTATAGTGGTAACTACTTACAGATAAAATCAGAAAACAGTTTTTTATAGTGGTAACTACTTACAGATAAAATCAGAGAACTGTTTTTTATAGTGGTAACTTACAGATAAAATCAGAAAACTGTTTTTTATAGTGGTAACTACTTACAGATAAAATCAGAAAACAGTTTTTTATAGTGGTAACTACTTACAGATAAAATCAGAAAACTGTTTTTTATAGTGGTAACTACTTACAGATAAAATCAGAGAACTGTTTTTTATAGTGGTAACTACTTACAGATAAAATCAGAGAACTGTTTTTTATAGTGGTAACTTACAGATAAAATCAGAAAACTGTGGAATGACGACATTTGAGCTGTAATTAAATGTAGTTGATGTTGTTACAAAGCAAAAAGTTTTACTAATATAATCATTTATTAAGAGAAATGGGTCTGTTTACACTGCGCTTGCCGTGTCTTGTGTGCATTGGTTTATTTTAAAGTCATAACTTGAGTTCAAAAGTCGTCTTACTATTCCAAAGTTTGATGGTTATCACTGTATAGTAAAAAATAAATTATTCTGATTATTCTTTACGCAATCAATTATCCCTGAAAGAAAATACGAAATATCTTATATCACTAAACATATTTTAATTTTATTTGAATCCACAGCGCATTCTTGAAAACCGAATAAAAGGGACGTTCCTCAAATTTTGCAGAGGGGGTGCAGTGTCCTTCCTTTCAGGATTTCAATTAAACAACAGCTCTGTTTGCTCTCATAAATTGAAGCGTTTGAATGTCGTCTTTGCAAATCTGATATTGAGCATGTTTTCACCATATACTCTAACGTTTTGTAAAAAAATGTTACTATGCTGTTTCAAAGAAATTATATCGATTCGAACATTAAGTATTTGCAACAAACTCAAATTTTGAAATCCTTATATGTTTGCAACCTGAAGGTGGTATGACATTGGGTTTCAAACATATGGGGAAAAGGAAATAAGAGTTTGTGGCAAAGGCTCAATACCTTTCAAGAAAAATTACTGTGCTGTTTAAAAGAAATTATATCGAACATGACCGAAGACTTATCAAAAACTAAATTTGAGGAAAAAATATCTCTAAGAGCAGGCGCGCGCACGTCTTACTTGGTCTCTTCCCTGCACTGGCTTCATAAGTGTGTTTGCGTCTGATTGGTGCAAAGGAATGTTCTTGTCAAAATTCTTTGTTTTTGTCGAAGAAATGAAAGTTTTTTAATGATAATTAATATTCTTAAAGAATATAACAGCATAATACACTTGTTGCTATGCATGCATAATTATTTAAATGCCAACTTTTATTGCTTATGTTTTGTTGAATAATATTCAAAATGTTAAAGACACAGATTTATTAAATACAGTAAATGTGCTGGTGCATTGTGCATGCGAGAAAGATAAAAGTCAAATTTAAAACATTACACGTTATTGAATCAAGGTATTTATGATAAAGAAGAAAAGTTTATCATGGATGAGATTGAGACAATTTAAAAACGAAATTTGTTTTCGAATTTGTACACTTACAAGACACAAAACTTACTCTCAAAGACAAACTCTAGGTTAAGGGCATGGAAAGCATCAAACCAAACCAAACCAAACCAAACCAAACCAAACCAAACCAAACCAAACCAAATCAAATAGTTTCAGAATAAAGTTTCAATCGGTTAGGATTTGCAAAGCAAGTTCTAGAGGTTAAATGATGGGCGCTTCATGGACTAAGATAAAACAAGATGAATATATGAAGATTGAAAAATTTACTAAAAGTATTGGAATAAAAAAATATTGAAAAGTTTTATAAAGTAATGAAAAGTATAGAGTCAAGTGTTGGAAAGTTAATTCTAATAAACTCCACAATTCTTAAATAAAACAAAAAACCATGTGATTACTAAGAAATTATGATATTTCTTTGATATCTAGAAATTAAGTACTTCTTGAATTAAACTGAAATAAACAGTTGACAACAGTAACCTTTATCTAACATTGATTTATTTACGTTATCCTAGTCAAATAAATGCAAAATTCTAGCCATTAATAAGAGAAAAAAAGATGAGATAGAAGCAGTGTAATTAAGACAAATCTTGAACTTTGACTTTATTAAAAAAAGTAAAGTTACAATCCCTTTAAACATTATTAGGGAGTGATACCTTTAAACATTACAAGGGAGCGATCCCTGTAAACATTACAAAGGTTTGATCCCTTTAAACGTTATTAGGGAGTGATCCCTTTAAACATTACTAGGGAGCGATCCCTTTAAACATTACAAGGGAGTGATCCCTTGAAACATTACTAAGGAGTGATCCCTATAAACATTACTAGGGAGTGATCCCTTTAAATATTACAAGGGAGTGATCCCTAGAAGCATTACTAAGGAGTGATCTCTATAAACATTACTAGGGATTGATCCCTTTAAACATGACTAGGGAGTGGTCCATTCACCCAATCCAAGATAGTACAATCCTTCCAGATATATTCTCCTCTGACCGGTGTACCCGGGGGGAGTAGAGCTGCGTAGATACTAGATTCTGCTCCCTGGTCAATAGTTAGCGGACCTTTATGGCTGGTCATGTCCGTATCAACGTATCCTAAAATATTAAATTTATAATTTCATGAATGACAAAAACTTTTTTTGGATTTGTCTAGTTTAAGTGAGTGCAAGCTTAATTTCAAGTGTCCCTCCATACAATGGTACCATTGAAACATTTTCGGATTTATAATGTGGCAAATATTGTCGTTTTTTGGGGTCTAAAAGAATTTATATCTGATAGTTCCTATATGCAGTATGCAGTAATCCGCAAGTCACTTTTGCATCGATCCTCTACCTTCCACTTCCCTTCGTTACCCTTCCCTCAATAACCTACCTTCCTCTAACCTTCCTCTTTCGTAGTTCCCTATATTCATCATCACTATCAACCTTCCTCTTTCGTAGTTCCCTATATTCATCATCACTATCAACCTTCCTCTTTCTCTCTCAAACTTCCTCCTTCCGTCTCAACCTTCCCCTTTTTCTCTCAACCTTCCCCTTTTTCTCTCAACCTTCCTCTTTCCCTTCTCAACCTTCCCCTTCCCTACTTTTCCTCTTCCCTACCTGTTCACTTCCCTTCTCCATCCTTCCGTCTCTTCCACTGTTACCCTTCCCCTTTCCTTTACTTTTCCACATCCCCTTTTCTAATCATTTTCCACCTCCCTTTTCTTACCCCTTTCCTTTCCCCTTTCCTTTCCCATTTTCTTTCCCCTTTTCTTTTCCTTTTTCTAGTTCATACAATTTTGACATCAGGCATAGGTTTCAAGGGTTACATTGTGTACCGGACATTGTCATCTTTGAATGGATGGTCAAGGGGATACTTGTTTTTCCAGCTTTCAAGCAGAAAACAGAGGTTTTCTGTATTATCTATATTTGGTCTTCGAAGCTTGGGGGGGGGGATACAAATAAAATAAAGGTTTAACATATCTGTATACTTTAAAAACATTTAAATACTTATTATTTCTAAAATTCATTTACTTCATCAAAAGGGATAAAATATCTTGGAAACAGTGAGAAGACGGAAAAAGTATTTTTAATAAAAATATTTATCTCTAAAAAATTCAAAAAATTTTCTGTGAATGTAAGAAACTTTTCAATTTAAACTTTTGTCGAGAAATTGAAAACTTTGTTTGATTAAAACTTATGAATATCATATTTGCCAGTTGTGAATAAGTCTAATCAAGAAGTAGAAGGGTAAAAACTTATGAATATCATATTTGCCAGTTGTGAATAAGCCTAATCAAGAAGTAGAAGGGTAAAATAACGTTTCAATTCAATTTGGAACTTGTGAAATGTGATGTTTATTATCAAAAGGCTTGTTATTAAATCGGTCAGAATTATAATTTCTTGATTATTTTGTTTGACAGAAAGGGGAAGGTAAATGAGTATTTTTGAAAATATTTAATGAGCATTCAGATTTTAATTTTTTCATTTCAAATTGCAGAGTTCAATATTTAATTTTTTATCTTAACAAAACTTAAATAAATCTGGGTGAACAAGGTTGACGAGTTCAAAACCAATAATTTTCATCTAAACGAAACTTAAACTAAAAGTGCTTAGGATCCATTTATATCCGCCCTGGAAAAAAATGGTTCCGGATCTAAAACCGGATCCATGGTTCTAACCATATCTTCAAGATTTACAGATTTTTTTTAACAAATGAAAAATTTTAAAACATTTGTTTTCTTTATGTTTCGTTTTTTTTCTGAAACTTAGTGAACCATTAAGAAATTTAAAAAATTTTGTCAATAATGTTAACAAATTTAATTTCTGTTTTGAGAGCGATATTTTAGGTTAAGATTGATATTTTTCCCCTAGAATCCGGATCTTTGAATGCGGATATTTGGATCCGCATATGTTTTCGGATCCGAATCTAGGAAGCTAAAATATTGCAGATCCAACGGATACGGATCCGGATACAGATCCTAAGCACTGCTGTAAGAGAAAATAATTAATGAAAACCTGGGTGAACATGGTTTACAACAATATCTTTTCTTGAATCCTGGGACAGTTCACGATTTTGTATTCGACTTAGGGCAGACAAACCAATCTTCGAAACTAAAAAAAAGTTTTATTAATAGAATATAAAAATATTATTGAAAAATTCTGTACAACCATCTAAAGTCTACAAAATTAACCTAATTATAAACTTATATATTAGAATTGACAATTTATCTGGCTAAAATTTTAAGTTAATATTACCCAGATTAAGTTAAACATGTTAATTTTTGCTAATTAATGCCTGAGTAGGTCGAATTTATCCATCCAAAATCCTGGTGATTTCCAGAGTTGGCGGATACTTCAAAGTTCTTCATCATTGCGTCCAGCTCACTCACACTCAGGTCGTCTTTATTTATTAATTATGATAACTCACAGTCTGAAAAAAATGCTTATACCCGTACTTTTTTTCAATTAACTGAGGAAAAGAACTGCATTTTTAATCAAATTTTCCCTTGAAATATCTATTTTTGTGTTTTTCCTTTAATTCATACTGTAATCAGTGAAAAGTATATTTTTAGTAAATTGAATCATATTTTTATTCCTGAGGAGAGTTTCTTCATTAGTTTTTTGGCTTTCTCAGTATTTTCACTTTTTTCTAAATTCTAAAAAACAAAAATACTTTTAACATCTTATAAAAAGAAGCTTTAATTGAACTATGTAGATCAACATTATCAATTTAATTTGGCCCCAGGTTGCAAAGATATAATTTGATAATTTATATACATATTTTGAGGTTTAACCTATCAAGCCCAACTTTTGTGGGAACTCAGATAACCCAAGGGAAAAGTTAATGGACCGTTAAAGAGGAAAAAAGTTTCCGGAAAAAATGACGACATTTATCATTCTGAAAATGCATCGATTTACACAGTAATATCCGCGAAAATGATTAAAAATGGCGCATGTTTTAGAGCTATAGATTTTAACAGGAAAGGGGACTCAAAGCGTCCTTAAAGCCTAGTTGTAAAATAAATTTAAAGTGTATGAAAGTAGAATTTAGGTGGTAAAAAGGTTAAGCACTGATGGTGTGGCAATAAGCTTCATGATTTTGTAAAAATTATAAAATATAAATACCCCGAGATATCCTGCAGAACTTGAAAGATTCACAACCCTCGCACCTGATTCAAATATTCATTTATCATCAATTAATTATGTTTTTAATTTTAATTTTGTGAACTATTTTCAATGCTTTGTGAAATAATTTGGGTCTGTCCTAGAGAACGATTTTTGGACCCTCCCCCCCCCCGCCCCCCTTCCTCTTGTTAATTTTGAATAAATTTCAACGATTTTCAACAAAAAATATTAATTTTGTATTATTTCCGGGTTAGGTTAGGTTAGGACAATTTCTCGGTCGACCGCTGCGGCCAGGACAGGCTAGAGGGCCGAACACTGCGGCTAGGTCAGGCTAGAGGGCCGAATACTGCGGCTAGGTCAGGCTAGAGGGCCGAGCACTGCAGCTAGGACAGGCTAGGGGGCCGGGCGCTGCGGCCACATGACCAACTATATCCATGTGTTAAATATAAGATGCATGTACAAAATTGATAAGAGGGGGAGGGGGATGGGCGGGGGTCCAAAAATTGTTATCTAGGAAATTACCAATCATTTTAACGACCCACAATTATTAAATTTTTTATGTTCCAAAAAAAGATTGAATTCAGCTATATTATTTTACGCATCACAGTGTATCATTTTCAATTGTCAACCAAGCCAAGATCGCAAACATTAAGCTGTCATAATTTACTTCAGTTTAGTGCAAAGATGATTTCCAAAAAGACCATATTAAAATTTTTTTTAAACTTAAAACCAACCTGGACGCAGGATTGGAAACAAAATCTCACATGCCGCCTAATAACAAGATAATGTGCAAATGTTCAAATTTGAAAAGAATAAATAGATCAGATTATCAAGAAGTACCTTAGTATCCCAATAGTTAGTTTTGAGAGTAGCCGTGGCCTGTTCACCAAAGGGTTCGGTTGCAGCCTAAGTTAAGAAAAAGGTAGTTTTTTAAAGTTTATTATGAGTTTTTTTAGTTTTTAAGTGAATACGGATTTAAAAATATTTAAGATTTCGAGTTCATGGAAAAATATTAAAAACGATTGAAAAGTCATAATAGTAAGTTGGCATGTTTGTACATGGTGTCCCAATAAACATGGGAATTGAGAGACGACTTAAATATCGTCTTTGATTTCCGATAATTGATAACTGACAGAAAGTGCATCCACATTTTGGAAATCCCGAGATTAGAAGGTTTCGATGTGAAAGGTTTAACTGTTTTAACTAAAAAATAATCTAGCATGGTAGAAGTTGTCATTTAATTCCCATGTTTATTGGGACACCCCCTGTACAACAGTATTTGAATAATTGAAAAGCGTAAAAATAAGAAATATATATATTTTTTAATTTTAGAATGGAAAATAGTATTTTACCTGCTTGAAAGCTATTGCAGCATTGTTCACAAGCACATCAATTCCACCATACTTTTCTTTCATAAAATCCCTAAATACATCATCCATGCAATCTTTATGCATTTATAAATAAATTTATACATGTCTGTTTAAATCCAATAAACGTCAAAACGGCTTAACCAATTAAACCCAAATTTTTAGTGGCAAATCACGGGAATCAGGAAAGGATGGTCGACAAAAAAATGTTGTTTCTAAAAAGTTTCGTTTTGGAAATCAAACGTTGAAATCAGAAAAATCCTCGAAATTATATACTGTTATTTTTCAGAAAGTAAGCAAAGGCGTTTGCTTTATAATTTTTAATTCATAATCTAAGGAGGGGGTGAAATACCGTGGGTTGTTAGATTTCCATCAAATAAATAAAACATCTAATATCTATGCATAAGCATTATTATATAAAAAAAGAAAATACAACAGAAATTTAAAACCAAAATGAGAAAAATTATTAAAATAATGATTTTTGCTTTTATAAGATTTTACCAACCTTAGTTTGAGAACAGACTCTTTATCAGCGATATCAAGCTGATGAAACTTCGGGTTTAATCCTTCAGCTTCCAGAACCTTCACAGCTGCCTCTCCTCTACCTACATCCCTGAATATATTTAATCCTTCAGCTTCAAGAACCTTCACAGCTTCCTCTCCTCTACCTACATCCCTAAACATGTAAACCTTCAGCTTCAAGAACCTTCACAGCTTCCTCTCCTCTACCTACATCCTTAAACATGTAATCCTTCAGCTTCAAGAACCTTCACAGCTTCCTCTCCTCTACCTACATCCTTAAACATGTAATCCTTCAGCTTCAAGAACCTTTACAGCTGCCTCTCCTCTACCTACATCCCTAAACATTTAATCCTTTAACTTCAAGAACCTTCAATTCCTCCTCCCTATTACCTAAAACATCTATATATGTACTTTGCTTGGGTGCTTGTTTGTCTGTCTATCTGTTTCCAATAAACGTCAAAACGGCAGAACCGATCGGGCCTAATTTTTTTGTGTGGCATCGCGAAACCCCAGTGAGGGTTTATGGATGATCGAATATTAAAAATTTGCCTCCATCAAAATTCTATTCTTGAAAATTTTGAATATCTACAATTTTTTTTATGAAATCCGTGAAATTTTTTTTTTTTTTTAAATGCACACAAAGTGAACATGTTCACAATAGAAATAGAAGATGGGTCCCTAAAAGCCTAATCCCTGGAAAAAGTTTAATATTTAATTAATATGAAATAGTTTCATTTTCTTCTCAAAAATATCCTTCTCAAATATATTCTTTAAATCATCAAATAATTGAAAAAATGTCTAAAAAATCACAGCAGTAACTTAAAAGTTTTTTATTCCGTATAATCTAAGAAGTCGATGGAAATATCCTTAACTTTCTGCCTGAAAACTTACGGCAGCAGCTTTTCTGTGGGGAAAGGGATTGAAAACTGGACTTCGAAAGCTAGTTTTTAAATTTATAAAATTTCCATTTTAGATTTAATTAAAATTTAGTTTTTCAACCTCAGAAACCTAAATAATTTATTTGAGAACAAATCTTGTTCATGTACTGTATAGGAGGGGGGGG